AACTACTTCGTGTTAGCGATAAATTAATTAATTTTTCTTTAGCTAAGCGGCCAGTTTTAATGCGTGAATAGCAAAGCATTTTAATTTTCAGATTAGTCACAAAAAGGTTATTTTAGAACTAGTTACAGAACTCCTTACTTTGAAATTAGTTACAAAAATACTTAATTTTGAAGTAGTTATAATTTTAAATGCGTGAATCGCCAAACATTTTTATTTTTAAACTAGTCACTTAAAGGTTATTTTAGAACTAGTTACATAACTCCTTACTTTGAGAGTAGATACTAAAATAATTCCATTTGAAGTAGTTACCTAACCAGTTGCTTTATAATTTCTGATCAAATTTTCAAATTAAAAATTTCCAACTATTTATTTTTTATTGTACTAGTTCGAAACTAGTTACTTCACATGCTAACTGGACTGAACTAGTTCGTTTAAGCTGAGCCACTTGATAAAAAAAGCTTTAAAGTGTTTTTGCCGAAATAAGCAGTTATATGATAGATTCATATACACACATACATACATGTATACAATTAAAATTACTTTTCTCTTTCTTTTGCAACTAGTTATCGAAAATGTTACCCGGAAACTACTGACCCTTTACTTAGTTCTTTGAGTAGTTTGCTTTCAACACAAAGTCAGACTCAGACTTTTCGCATATACTGTTTTGAACAAGTTAGTTTTGAAATGCGAGATAGTTGAGGCGCAAACTTTACAAAAGGAAAAAAATATTTTTGAATCAGACCATCGATTTCTTGAGAATTTTTTTTCTATTACGAAATTTTGTGCAAATAGTGTTGCCACCTGTTTAAAAATTTTATTTAAAAAAATTCACTTCCATATAAAATATGATATTTTTGGCTTGTTGAAAATATTTTTTGCGAAGCGTTGCTACCTTTTTAAACTTTCTTATTTAATGACATTTTTAAAATAAGTGAAATGAGACCAAAAACACATATGTTTCTGAATATAAAATTAACAAGCTTAGAAAAATGTGGTAAAATATAAATTTTTAAAGGGTTGCCAGATGTTTGGAAACTAAAAAAATATACTCAAATGAAAAATGTGATTATCTAACCAAATAAGTCTGAAGAAAACTTAGCATCTTTATTACTTTTACGGTATCTTGCTCAAATAGTGTTGCCACCTGTTTAATATTTTTAATTAAAACACTCCACGCAATATAAAATAATGATATTTTTGATTTTTGCTCACAGTAGAAAATATTTTTTGGAACTTTGATATTTTGACAAATGTTGTGAAATATAATTTTTAAAGGCTTGCCAGATGTTTGGAAACTAAAGAAAAAAGGGTATATTTTAAAGGATTGCCATGTGTTTAGAAATTATGAGAAAACATAAATAAAGTGATTTTTTTTTTTTTTCAAATATAAAATAGCTTCGAAATTCTGTATATTATTCCTACAGGCCCTACAGGCTCTAAAGGATATCTGTGTGTACATATATTGAAGTACGGTTACATTCAAATATTACAAACATACACTTAATGGGTGTGAGCTTTACACATTTATTACGTGTAGGTTGAAGGCAATGTTTACAGTTATATGCTCAAAATAAATCAAATAAGTCGTAACGAGCACAGCTATGAGGACACGTGCTAATAATTCCATTTTATATGTAGACCTGTGTCATATACACACATATGTATGTGTGTGTTTCGGCTTTTGTTTTATTTATAGACACGCCTGCGCCATACAATCGCATAATCGTCTTCCCAAAGGCAATAGTGATATGCCATATACATTCCTCTCTTTTTTGGCGAATATTTGCGCTTACAGTTATGCTTTAATTACATTAATTTGAATTTTAATTGCTTTCCGCAAAAATACCGTGAAACGGTAATATTTGTAAATGAAGTAGATGCTAATTGGTTTGAGCTCGCTTCATTTCATTTCACTGGACGAATTTAGTGCAGCGCTGCTTGAACTTTCAGATTTCAAGTGAGTTCAGACTTTGAACGGCTTAAAGGATTCTTGAAGCCTTCCGGGATTTCATTTCAAAATCTAAACTTTATTTCTGAAAAGACCACGATACCAAATGGAATGTAAACCTTTTTCATGAAAATGTAAAAAGCATACAAAGAGTTCCCGATTACCCAATACCACGGATTTTCGGAATCCTATAGAATTGAAATTAAATTCGGTCTTCAACATTGACTTACCTGCCAAAAAAATGGTGGGAAAGAGACGAGGAGGAGATAGTCTCTTTGCAGCAAAATTAGATACCAAAATCGCCATCGTTCTAAGACAGATTGTCTTTCTATCGGATATCACAGCAGTTAAAGAAAGTCTTCCAATAAGGAGGGTGCTCACCACAAGAAATATTTTCATTATACAGATAGCCAAGTGGCTTTCAAATCACTAAAGTCTCTTAGTGTTTCGTCAAAGATACTGAAAGTATGCCTTGAACTCTTACTGGATCTGACATCCTATTTTACGATAAACCTGCAATGGGTTCCAGGGCAAAGTGTTGTCCATGATATTTGTAAAACAGATGAACTAGTCAAAGCAGGCGCCACTCTACAATTAGGCTCCGCAAAAGAGGGAATTTATATTTACTGTAGCTGAGAATCGGTGGAGTAAATCTTTCACTTACTCAGCAAGCATGCTGTGAATATGGCCCCACATGCCGACTATTAAAATTCGATAATAATGACATAAGAACTGTATCCGTAGTAGGAGTTTTAACAAGTCACCGCTTAATTGGTAGACACTATATATTATACATAAGGACTATTGTAGAGGCTGGCAGTAGGTAGTAGAAAAGGAGTCAATAAACCACGTTTCATGTGAATGCAAGGTTTTTGCAGGAAAATAAATGCAACTATCGATCGAGGGTTTCTTGACAATGTTACAAAGGTTGCACAGATAAAAATTTCTGTACTGAAGAACTTCAAGTTCAAAGAAGTGGTTCCACAATGCCCTGTACGTCGTTAGACAGACACCCTACACAGCTACTTTCATAACAATAATAGTTATTATTATTGTAGTGGCGGAAAATATTCCCCCAATAAATTTGATGAATACTGTTGTTTTCCCAGTTTATGTTCTGAGAAAATCAGGCGTACAAACGTAAAATCGACATGGTGGCGACGGAAAGAAAACTTCGTCGAGATCTCTAGCGACGGCTAAGGAATATTTTGAAAAAAAAAATATGCTGAAACGACAGATATTTAAAGATCATATATAGGCCTTAGGTTAGTTAGGTGATGATTGATGCTTGGACTGTTAAAGTCATCGCTTTGCTAATCGCTAAAATTTCTTAGCCAATGTGCATATAATATACAGCTTGATAATAAGCTTCTAAGAGAGTATATAAATATAGTGAATAGTTCAGAGGAAATTTTACATCCAAATACCAGTAAGTTAATTGACAGAAGGCTAAGTTCCTGGTAGGACCTAACATGGTGGGACATATAGCTTTATTATTTGACACTAAGAGAGTCGTCAAATAGGACTTCCAGTAACTTAATCGTCTCGTAGAAATTGGTTGAACAAGATTTCTGCTAATGCATATAGTTTCAAAGAAGGTAAGTAGTATTGGTGTTCGAATGAGCTCTACTTATAGACTACTGTGCTATTTGAGACCACCTATGTACATCTGTACACTACAAGTATAAGTAGCTTTCAGCATGAAGAAAGAAAGAAAGATCTTAGTATAGCCACTGAAAGTTCATGTACGCTTTTCAGGTGAAGTTCAGCGAAGGACAATAAGTATATTGACATTTTTCATTCCTCAACATATGTATGTATGTAGCTAAATATTGATGAAGTCTAATATTCGTTGGTATGAGTAATACTCCTACTAAGTGAAGTAGTAAGTTTCTGTTTTCTTGAGAATAAGGAAATAAAAATGATTAAAAAACGAATTTTCACAGATGAAAAGATTTTCAAAAGAAACAATATTGTTTTTCCTAACTACTGACAAGGTGCATGCATAAGCTTCTTTACAAGATAAGGTCGGATGGAAGCATGCTCGGCCATCGGATCCTAAGTGTGCTCTGCCCAATTCACAAAAAAAGAGATCCTGCAATCTGCGCCAATTACCGTGGGTTAAGCCTGCTTAATATCGCATAGAAAGTCTTACCGAGCCATGCTCCAAAACTTGGAAAAGAAAGTGAAAGGAAGGTCGACACAGACCACCTCTTTGTCATGTTGCCCGGATAGAAGGAACACTCCAGCCTTGAATTTTTTCAATTCAATACCGGTCGGTGGCAGCAAAGGAAGACGAAGACTTCCAAAGAAGTAGATTTTGTATCGGATGGTGATAAAAATGGATCCATTACGACAATCGTTAACACAAAAAATAATATGTGAAAACTGGCCATCCAGCCAAATATCCTTGACGCTCAAATAGTGCTGAGGTGATTGGTGAAGGTTGTGCTATAGTATGAGCATCTGCGGCCGGGAGAAATAATTAATGGGGAATGCTACAGACAATAAATAAAGAAATTTAAACGAGTCATTGCTGAAAAACGCCCGAAATTTGCGACTAGAAACGAGGCAATATTTTTCCATTACAAGATCGTTTAAAAGCTATTGCAATAAACAGCGGTTGGGAGCTTTTGTCTAACGGCCTCATAGCCCAGACCTTGCAACTTCGGACTAGCATTTTTTACGGTCAATACAAAAATGACCCACTGGAATACGGTTTACATAAGTAAAGGGTTATAAAATTGGCTTAATTCATGCTGGAGACTCTATTTCTTACATAATTTTGCGTACAAAAAATGAAATCTAAATTTGTTTCTACCTAAAGGGCGCTGCACTTGCCACCATTTAAATGCAACCGAGGTTATAAACTTAGTGCTAATTCATTTCCTTTAATTTTGTGTTATTATGCTTACTTGGCGGCCCGTTAATGGATTTCCCAGAGCAGCAAATGTAATTATGAACGCCAAATGTATAAAATCTGATTATGTCTAACGCTGTATATGTGTATGTATGTGTGCGTTTGTACATTAGAATTGCATAGGGTACTTACTTGCGCGCCAGACGCTTCCTTATGCCGGCCAACATCGTGCTGGAGCTAACGCTACTAACGCTGCTGGTGCTGACGCTACTGCTAGGGCTGCTGTACGCCTCAGTGCCTGCTTGATTTTCCGGTCGAGTCGGCCGTTTCAGGCAATTATGCGCCGCTACCAATTCAATTCTCTCAATTTCTATGCTTTTTTATAAAGATTTCGTTTCGTTTTTTTTTTTTCTTTTTTTCGTTTTGGTTTTTGTTTTTATAGCTTTCCGATTTTTCGTTGTGTGCGCGCGCGATCGAATAGTGAGCGCAAAAGGGCTAACAACACCAAAAAGAAGTGGAAAAATTGTTTTGCTACTAAATTTCCGCCGCGTCTAATGGGCTGCGCTGCTGTTCTTCGTTGCAATAAGCGCTAGCCACAAGGCGAATTATGAAATTTGTTTTTCTTAATAACAGCCACAGCCGCAGCCGCTGTTGTATCTGTTGGCGGTGAGTTCAACTGTTTTCATTCTCAACACTCGCGATTGCTTTTCGCGCGTCACCGCTCCAGCATCTTTCCGCTGATAGGCACGAATTCAATTTCACGGATTTCACTTGCGCGATTTTCAAGTACAAATTACTTTAGTTGAGTTTCATGTGTTTGCGCGTGATTAACGCGCCCGCGCTCAACCGCGTTTGGAGAGTGGGGCGTTTGCCGCAAGTATACGCGCACTCACGCACGCGCTAGCTATCCTCACAGTATCGAATTCAGCAAAAACCAATTGTGTATTGGTAGCGGTATGCGGTCGGTAGGCGCGCTTCATGCGATTTATTTGCTTATTATTGTAAGCTTTTTTTTTTTGCTTTCGCAGTGTTATATATTTTGACTGCGTCTTTATTTGGTTATACGGACTCGTATTTCGTTGGCTTTCTTGGCTACGCGCGCGCTTAAAAACACTTGTTTGTGTCTTTTTGCGCCTCCCAAGCGGCCAGGCGCGTCGTGTCTTGTTGCAGTAGTAGATGCGCCTCCGCGCTGCGTCGCGTTTGTAGTGACTCTGTAAATAACACAAGAAGAAGAAGAGGAAGCATAAGAAGAAAATTCAAACCAGAAGAATTCACATATTATTTTTTGTATTTTTTTGCTTTTGCAGAGTGTAATCGAAACTGCTGATGACAGAGAGAGAGGAAGAAAGCGCAAAAGGCGCACGCAGTGTTGTGCGGCATGGCTGGCAGTCAACACAACGCGTTTGCTCTGCGCTGTGATTTATTGTGGGAAATTCGATATTTTTCAAAAAGCAGGCAGGCAGGCATACACACACTCACTCACTCATTTATTTCTTTCTTTTCATACGCCATCTGTAAATGAAGTGTTTATGCCAACATAAACACCGAAATGATGATGTGCGAATCTCTCTTGTGTGCGCGCGCTCAAATTAATTACGTGGCATCTCTTTCATTACTTTGCGCTGCAGCAAAGATGGCTTTATTTCATTTTCAACAATTCAACTTTGTTTAATGATAAACTTTCAGCATTTCAATTATTTTCTTTTAATTTTTTTTTTTTTTTTATATATATTTTTCGCTGAGTTGGGTTTCTCGGCGCTGGGTTGCTTTTGAAGGCTGCTATAACGTGTTTATATTCTCTATTCTCATTAGTGATAGTATAATGTGTACATATGTACTACGTATGTATTGGATGGTGTACACTCGGTCCAATAAAAATGTCATTGAAGCTCTTTTTGAAATACATATGTACATACTTATATTCATGCCATATTACTAGTTAATAGTGATGAGTGATATTTGAGCTCTCAGAATAGACTCATTGCTTCAATTTCACTCGGTCATGAAAGCAATGGAAAATAAACTTAGCTCGCTTTCTTTATAAATGAAAACACAAATAAGTTTTTGCAGCTCTACTTTATCGTATAATATTCGTCGTAGTACAGTGTCTACAAAATATGGTAAGTTAAATCTCTATTTCACGCCATAATTTATTAAATTGAAACAGCTGAAGCTATACTAATTGAATAGAACAATATACGTCTTCGATTCGGCAGATTTTTACACAACTAACTGAGCGAACTTGTTAAAAGTGGTTCGCACACGAAGAGAACGTTCTTCGGTGGTCAAAAAAGTTAAGGTATCGGAACTATTACGTAATTAGGATTGTTGCCAGACATAAAAATGTCGAAGGACCAGCCAAAAACCACTTAAACTGCCGTTTCAAAGCGTTTTATAGCAATCCATTAACTGGTCATTTGGAAAGTCTCCAATCTATCAAAGAAAAACACATTACTTTAGCAAAATTCTTTTTTTATTCAACATATCTCCTTCACTGATTATAACGACCCTCCAACTTTTCCATCCCATTTTTGTAGTAAGAGTTATCCTTTGTTTCAAAATAGGCTCCAATTTTTCGATCACCTCTCATTTGACGAAAACCCCAGCGAGTATTCTGTTGAGATGTGGGAACATGAAAAAGTCGTTGGGGACCAGTTCTAGAGATTACGTAGAATAAGGGAGCAATTGGAAGCCCATCCTACATATATTGTCTCGAAACAGATCCTTCCTTTTTCAAGGTAGTCATTAAAAGTTATTCAAGGTGCAATCTAAAATACAGGCACCATAACCTTGCCAGTGGACGGTTGCGCAATTGCACGCTTTGGAGCGGGTTCATCGTGTGTAGTTCACTCGGATATTCGTGACTGTTATGACATTCACGTTCGGTTGATATCTTTAGAGTACCTACTATCTTGAACAACTTCACTTTATAGTCATCCAAATCATTCTGGAGCAGCATAAGGGTCCATTTTCAGCCCAGTCTTCCACAGGATTAGTTATGACGGAATACTAAAACTTGAAAGCATTCATAATCTTCAGCTCGCTATAAAAAAAATAAATCTACTATTGCTGATGAAACAAGCACGTTCTCCTCGTAATAAGCATGCAAACGACCAACGATTTTTTAAGGACACAGAAAGCTGTGATTAACAACTTAGGCGTAAGATTGGACGACAGATTAACCTTCTGGGTACAAATCCAGCACGTTGCAGGAAAGACAGCGAAAATTATCTCTTATCTTAGCAGACTAATTGCCAGAGTTACAGTATCTTACGGTACTGTGTCAGGTGACGCAATATTGGTCGTGAAGGTTAAGGGGTCATGTTCCCATTGACCTCCTAGCGCACGAAAGAAAAAAGAGATGTGAGATCTAATGAAATAAGATGGAAATAAGAAGAGCGCAATTGACCGAATAAAAAAAGACACGATACTCGCATGACAATGAATATGGAATAATCAGTATCGCGGTGTTGGATGGCCAGACTTATAAGAGATTTAAACTTATGAACAAGTCGCAATTTTGTAGAAGTCGACTTCTCACACAAAATATATAAATTGGTTAAAGTCGAAAAGATGACATGCTTATATAACGACGCGACAGAAAACGACGAGGAACAGACATTCTATAAACGGAAACTCACCGCCGTGGCTCCTGGTTGGGCCAATACTGGAAAGCTAAAAAACTGTGGGATTATTTAGAAATATGTAGCAATTTTACTACGCCGAAAATAGAGTGACCTGGACGTACTGGGACAGGTGCGCAGATATAAGTTTCTCAATGAGAGAAACAGAACGCCCCTATAAAATAATGCAAACGCGGTTTCAAGGTGGGCGACGGTTCCTTAGGGGGGTGGGGGTTTTAGTGACCTGAAAGTCAGAAGTGTCACCCGCTATATCTGTCGAGTCAGTACAGGAAATACGCACGTCGCTAAACCCGATAAACAATGAAATTTCCGCAAGGGATGACAGACGAATCAGGGTGAGATGGAATGCCTTAAGGGTATGAAAGATTGTCAAGGAGACGGAAAAAATTTACACAGACGGTTTCAAAAAGAGATCGTACAGACGAGCTATATGTGAAGCTCCATGAGAACATCTGTAGTCTTGTTCGAAGTCTTTATACTTCGTGGAACTTCGAAGTAATTCATATGTATGTATACAATTCTTTTTCTCCTTCTTATATAAATTTTGTAGAGAGCCAAAAACTTTAGGATTTGGTTTTCGAACTTCGAATAATGCTTTTTAAATTCTGACACACATGAGTAGTTTTCATTTGAAGTACTACTGTGCCCCAAAAATAAGGTGATATTGTATTTATTTTCAAAATTCTTTGTTTATTCTTCCAAATTAATTTCATCCCCTTCAAAGTAATCCCCACTAGATGTAGTACATTATGCTAACGGATGTTCCAAGCTTCGAAACACAGGTTGTAGTATCAATTTCCGGGATGGCCTTCAGTTCCGTCTTTGCTGCGGCTTGAATATCGTATAAAAACGGTGTCCCCGGAGCGGCCTTTTGAGCTTGGTGAACAGCCGGAAATCGCAGGGCGCCAGATCAGGTGAATACGGTGGTTGTGGAACGATATGGGTTGAGTTTTTGGCGAAATGATCRTTTAATGCAAATTCTTTGCTCAACAAATTTCGACATCGCTAAAAACGAAAAACTCACTTTTAGCAGCTCACAAAACGACACCGTATCTCAAACACTAATGAATATTTTGACATGAAATTTGACATAAATGTGACTGACCGTACTATCAATCTAAAAAAAAAAATATATAATTATCCAAATTCTTCGACGCACGTATATGACTTGACCTGACCTCTTACCATATTTTTAAGTACAATACTAAGGGAACTTAGCGCTGTTTTAATATCCATGAAATAGGACAAGCAAATGTCTACAATTTGAGTGCTATTCTCCGGGCATACAATTTCAAATTTAAGCTTTCACAGCATAAATTCACTGAAACCGCCAAGTTACTTTAAGAACTGCATAGGCGATTTGCTAGAAAAAGACACATCTCAAAAAACTTTCCGCCGCCTAATGACCACTTTGCCACAGAAAACCGCCATAATTGAAAAGACAATGGGAAAACCAAGTAAGCGTAACGCTGTTAATTCCAAGCCTATCTCAAATGCAAAGTGCAGCATTTCCGGGCAAGTGTTTTGGTTTTTCACTCGCATTCTGAACCAAAAAGCGAACCAAAGCATCAACATCAACGCCACCACCCACTCACCGGGACCAGCGAACACGAATACACGTTTACCGGCCAACCAACGCTCCCAGCTGAGTAAACCAGATTTTAATGGGCACCTCAGCATTTCAATCTCGGCAACTATAATTTCATAAACACGCCGTGGAAGAGTTGCCATCGTGGAATTGTAATTTATGTAGCCACAGCACGGAGATAACGAACGTAATGCGAGTGAGAACATAGAAAAAATACAACTTATATACGAATATATCTACATACATATGTTTATACACTTTTGTTCGTAAGTGTACATGCCGGCTCGGACTCCGACTCCTCCATGGACTATAAATGAGTAAATGAGTTGGAATAAAGCATTTGAAATACCATTGTCAGAATCAGCTAGACTCACACATATGTAATTGGTATTTTTGTACGTGAAAGTATATAGTTGTTTTCTACATATGTAGTCCGGGTTTATGCGAACACGGATTACTTTGAACTAGAATGGAAATGAATAGTTTGAAACTAGTCTAAGAGCCATGTCGTTTACACATAACAGATTTAATATTTCCGAATTTTCGACACTATGCAATGATTACATATTGTGTAGAGTTGCCACCTGACTAGTAATGTTCAAATGTTGGAAATATAGTAAATATTATACCAAACTAGTTCTGTAATCAAGAGTTTAACGGAAGTTCGAAACCAGCTTTACTAAATATCTGTTCTAAAGTTGCCGCGTGACTTTAATATTAAAAATCTTGTTAATAGTCATATTAATATCAACAATATTCTATAAAAATATCTGTTACAGAGTTGCCACCTTGATTTTAAATAGAAAATATTTTTTAAATCGAATATAGTACCAGTTCTCATAAAAAGTTATTGCAAATGTCTCAGTGCTGTCTTAGAAACTTCACTGAAAGAGAGAATAATGTTTCCACTCTAACATAAAACCAAATAATAGAAAGTAGAAACTGAAAATATTAGTAGAATTAAAAAACCCATTCGCTT